AACTACTACACAAGGTCAGTCAAAGACTTCATTATCTATCTAGTTCTAAGTTTAGATGGCATGATGCTACTTTTCTTTTCTGATACCAATGTAGAAATCTTGAGTATCAGACGATACAGATCCACTATTTTTTAACTAATAAGCTTTAAAATGAGAATTTTAATTGAACATTATTCAATATTGGCAATCATGCATTTAGATCTCACACAGCTGGTCAACATACAAAGGATTTTAAGATAGATTTTCTACATAAGTCCACATCAGGGTCCAAAGATTCTAGAATCTTTCACACCAAACCACACTAAACCACTCTGAATGATTTTGTTGATGTGTTAACCATTTAAATGATGCAGAAATTTTGAAAAATTGGTGGAGTTCTACTTCAACTACAAAACACTTCAAGGCAGATTAACTCCCTGCTGAAACTCCAATCACTGATAGATGAGGTTATCAGATGTAGAAGCAGAAGATTTCAAACAATCTGCCCTGGGAAATTTGTGGGTGATTTAAAATGAGCTATTTTAGTCTTAAACACAGTGCTACCCCACAGGAAGAGATACATGGCTAACACAGCTACCATGACACCACACGGAGTAAGTAAGTGGTATTTCAGACTAGATTTGTTACAGTATAAGACCGAATTACATCTTTTTCTCCTCTGATATCTAATACTGCATTTTCCACTGGTACAGTACTTCTCCACATTGCCATTGCTTTAGTTAGCTCTGCTGTTAACTCTGACTAAAGCTCTAAATGGATGTGCTCTGCAGGGCTGGATGGACTGTCGGAGCGATGTGCTCAGTATAAGAAGGATGGAGCTGATTTCGCAAAGTGGCGCTGCGTGATGAAGATCAGTGACACCACCCCATCTCAACTATGCATTACAGAAAATGCAAATGTCCTTGCTCGGTATGCTACCATCTGCCAACAGGTAAAGTGTGAGTCCAATTAATGTTGTTAACGCAGTTAAATTTGTTTTTTGGCTTAGAAAACGGACATTCAGGTGATATTTCCAATTTTCTTCCAGCATGGGATTGTACCCATAGTGGAACCTGAGATTCTGCCTGATGGAGATCATGACCTGAAACGCTGCCAGTTTGTTACAGAAAGGGTTGGTGTCAATCCGTCATTAATGTCGTTGTTCCACATGACACAGGGTAAAGATCATTGAAATCATTATATATTGCTCCATATGTGTTCTCCAGGTGCTTGCAGCAGTCTACAAGGCCATGTTTGATCATCATGTGTATCTGGAGGGAACCCTGCTTAAGCCCAACATGGTAACCCCTGGACATGGCTGCCCCACCAAATTCAGTGCTGAGGAGGTTGCCATGGCAACAGTCACTGCCCTACGTAGAACCGTCCCTCCTGCGGTCACAGGTGCGGTTACGTTGCTCCACATGGTTACACTGGTCTTCAGTTCACTGGAATACATAGCATATGATGCTAAATAATGTCTGCTTCCAGGAGTGACCTTCCTCTCTGGAGGCCAAAGTGAAGAAGAGGCTTCCCTCAACTTAAACGCCATCAACAACTGCCCGCTGGTGAAGCCCTGGGCACTCACCTTCTCTTTTGGCCGAGCCCTGCAGGCCTCTGCCCTGAAAACCTGGCGCGGCCAGAGAGAGAATCAAAGTGCTGCCACTGAGGAGTTCATCAAACGTGCAGAGGCATGTTCTGTTCAGTCTGAGTCTCATCATGATCTGTGCAATACATACGATTTTAATAAAACATACTGAAAAACTAAAACATGTTCTATAAGGAGAGACAGGCAAGCTTTACATTCTTTTCATGATTCCATCTCATTGTTTTACATAGTGGGTTCAAACATGAGTTCCAGTTTTTAAGAATCCCAAGCAGTAATTCCATCATGATGTTTTACAAATTGGGTCGAAGCAAGGATTCTAGTTTCCAAGAATTCCAAGCAACAACCCATTATTCCATCAAACTATTTATAAATACAAACATGAATTCCATGCAAGAATTGCAGTTTGTGTTTTTCGATCATGTTGTTTTACAGACTAGGTTGAAGCAAGGATTCCAGTTTCTAAGAATTCCAAGCAAGAATTCATAACTCAGTTTCATTGTTTTACAAATTGGGTTCAAATACGAATTCCAGTTTCCCTGAATTCCATGCAGGACTTCCAATTTGTGAATCCATCACATTGTTTTACAGATTGGATTGAAGCGAGGATTCCACTTTTCAATAATTCCAACTCAGAATTCCATCACACATTGTTTTACAAACTGAGTTGAAGCAAGGATTCTAGTTTTCAAGCATTCCAGGATTGTAGATTCCAAGAATTCCGAGCAAGAATTTCAACTCATTATTCCATCTCATTGTTTTACAATTGGGTTCAAAGATGAATTCCAGTTTCCATGAATTCCATGCAAGAATTCCAATTTGTGAATCATCATGTTGTTTTACAGATTGGTTGGAAGTAAGCATTCCAGTTTCTAAGAATTCCAAGCAAGAATTCCAACTCATAATTCCATTTTGTTGCTTTATAAATTAGGTTGAAGCAAACATTGTTCTTTCCAAGAATTCCAACTCATGAGTTAATCATGAGACATGTAACACTGACATAGTTTCACAAATTGGGTTAAATTGTGAAGCAAGCATTTAGATTAGTATAAAAGACAGCGATATTACTGCTGCCAAGATTTTGCGAAAAAAACAAATCATATTTTTTTTCTTGTAAATCTTGTATTTCAAAAGACAGAGCGAGGAAGCAAGCAGGAAAGAGACAGCAACAAGGGCAGTAGTCCAATCTCACAAGCTAATAACTAATTTATTAACTTGACAGTGTATGTCTGGGTGCCCTGAGTGCCCTGCATTTGTATTTAGTCTCGTTTAGTCCAGGATTTACCTAATAAACGTCAGGTCAATATGTCTACACGAGGCCCAGGAATACAGATAACTACAGTTAACTTATAAGATAAATAAATTAATCTAATATTGCAACTGCAATGTTGATCAGTGCACTCCCTGCAAAATAAAAGATCATCTATGGGATGCAAATCCTAAACAAACCTATTCTTTGTTCGCTTTCAATCTCATTCTGACATTTTTCTTCTGCTTCTTCAGATCAACAGTCTGGCAACTCAGGGAAAGTACTCTGGAGGTGGAGACAGCAGCGGAGCCACTGGCCTCTCCCATTACCTCTCTAGCCACGCATACTGAAATGCTACCAAATGTTATCCTTCTGTGTTTCCTGAGATATAGCCAATTCCACTGCCATAGAAATGAATTTAATGCAGGTATATATTCCTTCGAGCTGTATCTTAGATTCAAGACGTTGCTGTTGTACACAGATAATTTTCAAACTAAATCAGTGTATGAGCTGACATTTGAGAGGACTACACTCTTTTCATCCAGTAAAAATAAATTGTAAGTTGTCATGTTCCCTCTACTGCTGAGTATAACAAATAAAAAGAGTATGTAGCTTCTTATAGCTTCAGAGTCAATTTAAGACGAAGCTCATAAGTTATGATTAATTTATAAGCTCAAAACAGAGAAAATGAGTATCATATAGATTAAATGATAATGCAATAGTGATTCATGTCCCGCAACCGACAAAATGAGTTTTCTCTATAGATTTGAGATTTGTGAGAGGGGGTCTAACTTGTGCCATGCTTGTGTGATCCAGCCTTTCATAACTGCAGTGCTTTACTGAAACTTTTGATGTGGTGGACTGCATTCATGGAGAGAACCTATGCTAAGTACCTGCTAACTGTGTTCTTTTGGTAAGTGTTGTGGTATCCAGTGTGAAAAAACAGAGCAATTGTTGTAAACTTATAAAACATACATTAATAAAATGTGAAAATAATGCAGTGTCTGACGCAACTACCTTTGTGCAGTATGTCTTTGCTAATCATAAGGCCTGTTCCTACAAACACCGCATTAGCGATACTATCTGTAGCCTAGTTGGCCTCAGTAGGCCGCAAATACACAATCACAATGAAGCTCATGCTATATCAGCTACAGCTATTAGCTTTTTATTTCAATAAATCAGTCATTCCTATCCTCCAGATCTGTTTTTCTTTCATTAGCTAGCTACATTTTGAAAAATAGATCATATAAATATGCTACAACATCAGCTACAAGGAAAGTTTGATTTTTTCTTTTATTATTTTTTATTAAATTTTGATAATGTACCTAATTTCATTACAAATTGAACAGGAATATGAACCAGTTGTTAGCATTAGCTATTGTCTGCAATTCCCCACCAAATAGATCAGGGCATTTATTAACACAAAACATAAAAAAAAAGCATGTAATTAAGCTTTTATTGCGTCTACGACCCAAAATTAAAGGAGAATTCTACATTTCAACATATTTGCATAATTCCGTCGTTGCGATGTAAACAAGGTCATTCGTAGTGGTTTGATGTGAAATGCTTCACTGTAGAGAAACGTACAGACTTTCTTTCAGTTTTCTTTACACTGGTGGTGATAGGAACCAGGGGTCATCATGTCTACAACACAAATATTGGCATTTTATTTACTATCCAAAACTACAAGTGAACCTACACTCTTCTGAATTTTAACATGTAATGGTGATGTTGGTAAAATAGTTGACACTTTAAAAAATACGTTTTCTTTTGGGGCTATTTTGCATTACAACGTCCTGCATGAACAACTCTGACTGAATTAAATCGATGTAATAACAAGACGTTTTAAATCAAAACTTTATCACAAAACTGTCTTAAAGATTTCAGGCATCCGCCGCGCATTCATAACCATTTCCTGTAGCCACTTTCAGCGTCAAACTCTTCAGCTGTCTGGTTTCTATCACCACCACTGTGAATAATTCTGACTCTGTAAGTATCTCTATAATGGAGCATTTCACACCAAACCACTCAGAATGACCATTTAATTATGCAGAACTTCTGAAAAATTCCCCCTTAGTACACCTAAAGGATGTTTACGGGACTACTTTTTGTCTCGGATGTAGCTGGTACGTCTGCGGTTGTGCATTTAATGCCCACAGTGTGCGGAATCCCTCCGCACTACTGAAGCGCGGTTAGTGAAGAGGAAGCGGAGAGCTGCTCTCAGGCGGAGTGCGGACCACGTTCTTGCTGCTGTGAGCTCCGGACAAAAGTTGGGACAATACAGCGGCGTCTGAGCGTTTTACTGTTTGGAGGTATTGTACATGAGTTTTCGGGTGCGCTGTGCATCGCAAGCATCTTTCTTGTGCAAGTTCTGAGCTTGCGTAACTAATCCGTTTGTTTGGTTTGCGACAGGAAAGTCGCGCTCTCTTGTTCAGAGATGTCTGGCGGAGTGATCCGAGGCCCCGCTGGTAGCAACGACTGCCGGATTTATGTGGGGAATCTCCCGCCTGATATCCGCACCAAGGACGTCGAAGATGTGTTTTACAAGTATGGAGCGATTCGAGACATCGATTTGAAAAACCGACGAGGCGGGCCGCCGTTCGCCTTTGTGGAGTTTGAAGACCCCAGGTAATTAATTCCCAGCAGCTCGGTGTGCTCGGGCTAAGCTAAGCTAGTTAGCTACGATTGTGACTACAATGTTTGCTGTGCAAACTGGATTCGTTAAGCAATGTAATATCATTTTCACTTAACCTTTTATATGTTTGACCTGTATCTGCGGTTACTCGACGTTTTTGGGAGGTGTAGCTTAGATATCCCGCTAGCTGTCTTGTTTGTGTTTTGCGCGATAGCTAACGCTAGCTAGGCCAGCCTCACGCTGGGCTAGTTAACGCTACCTGGCTAGCAGCTAATGCTAAATGTTATTATTCTCAAGCTAACGTTAGTTAGCTGGGTTAGTTTTGTATCTGAGAGCTGTATGAAGCACCACTTTATTACATAAATTGTAGACTTTTACTTTCTTATTGAATGACCCCCATTTCCGTTAGCTCAGTTGGGTGAAGGTTAACGTATTGGCTAAGTAACGTTTGAAATGGACCTAACGTTAGCTCGCTTAGCTAGCTACGGCACTCAACCCGCCTCTTACTACGGCTAGCTAGAGCTAGCTAACAGCAACTGTTCCACACTTATTCAGTAGCTTTCAATAGTTCTGATTTAATAGATTCAGTAAACCTTTATGTTTTAATCCCAAATTGTACGTGGTGGTCGGATTGGGTTTGTTGTATCTGAACTGAATGTAAATTCTAACCGAAATTGATTTTAGAAGGTAATTTACTCTGCTACAGGAGCTGTAAAAATCACCTTGTTTTTCAGAGATGCCGAGGATGCTGTGTATGCTCGGGACGGCTATGACTACGACGGGTACAGGCTCCGAGTGGAGTTTCCGAGAAGTGGACGCGGTATGGGTAGAGGAGGTTTTGGAGCAGGGGCACCCAGGGGCAGATACGGACCCCCATCCAGACGCTCTGAATACAGAGTGATTGTTTCGGGTAAGAACACAACCTCCATCAAATGAGCTGCACTAGGTGGACCATGTAAACATTTAGTGGCATTGTACGTTAGCTTTGTTATTTACACTGTGGTAGAGGATGGTGTGTGTATGTATATAGGAATGCAACTTCCACTTGAGATAAGCAACATTTTTGTTGATTCCAGGCCTCCCACCAAGCGGCAGCTGGCAGGATTTGAAGGATCACATGCGTGAAGCAGGTGATGTATGTTATGCTGACGTTTTCCGAGATGGAACTGGTGTGGTGGAGTTTGTGCGCAAAGAAGACATGACCTACGCGGTTCGAAAGCTGGATAACACTAAGTTCCGATCGCATGAGGTAGGTTTGAGATTTTAATTAGGACTTTTGGATGTACATGTCTTAGCTTTGGATTTTCTTTAAGGTAAGCATATCTCATGTGACATGATTGGGTATGGATCCCTATTGTTTTGCCAGTCACTTTACGACATTGTGAATTGGAGAATTTCAGATGGCATCTAATGAAATAAAGATATTCGTTAATTTGGAGATAAAGCCTAGTATGGATCTTCATGTTGTATCCAAATCCCAATGTCAGACATGATTGTGCTGCCCATCCTGTTAAGTGTTCATGTATAGCCTTCATTGAAGACTGCCACTCGGCAAAAAAAGCAAGAAACTTGCACTGTTAAAAGATGACTAAAAAATGTTTGTGTTGAGCGACTGAATAGTAATTGGTAAGTATTTTAATAACACAAGCCTGGATTTTGGTTGTGCTGTGTGCTCAGAGGAAAGTTTTTGTGTCTCAGGGGGAAACTGCATACATTCGAGTGAAAATGGATGGTCCGCGCAGCCCCAGCTATGGAAGATCGAGGTCCAGGAGCCGCAGTCGCAGCAGGAGTCGCAGCCGCAGCAACAACCGTAGCCGCAGCTACTCACCACGGCGTGGCCGAGGGTCTCCTCAGTACTCTCCTCGCCACAGTCGCTCTCGCTCTCGATCCTAAGCCTTCCACTCTCACCACCTCTGTGGTGCTTTTGGTTTCCTGCCCCTCTGTTTTTGGTGAAGCTGTTGACTCATCCTATTTTACCTTCTCCCCCCAACCTCCCCCCCTGCATTGAGTACTAGTTTTATTTTTTCCACCTTCATTTTCCTGATTTGGTCCTCTGAATGTTGTCTACGTGTCCTGCCCTCCACTTCCATTTCTCATCCATCCACCCCACCTTATCTCCCCAAACCCATCTAAATTCTTTTAAGAATGTGTTTTAAAGGACTGCTCACACGCCCTCCCCCTATCTCACCTTTCGTTTGTCCTTTTTTGATGATGAAATGGAACTCTCATTGACCAAACAAAGGTTGCTTAATGCCTCTCAATATTTTGGTAAATGTCATGTACTGTCTTTCATGAGGGTGGGTTCATAAAAGTTGTATTTTACCCTGTCTTCCTCTAGTCATTTGACAAAGGATGAACTGATACTTTGTAATAAAGGACTGCCGAATCCATTTGTTGAGTTACAGGTTGAAGTTTATAAACGGGGGTCCTCTGTTATCACAGTGAATGCTTCTTTACCAGCAAACTTAAGTGGTATTACTCTTCCTCCTGCGTCTGTGTAGAAAGTGACCTTATGGCACTTATAGCTATGTTGACAGTCCAGATTAGATGTATTCATGTTATCTGTACTTTTTACATACAAGATGGCCTTTGGGGCAAATCAGGCTAGAGACCGAAGGCGTACATACTTAAAGTTTGGGCAGGCTCTGATGGTAGATGAAGAGCATGGTTTGCAACAATAAGCCAGGATAATTTTTTTTTTCCACTAGAATGCAATATGCATGCATTACAGAAGGAATTTTAACCAGAAAGTGTTTCTAACTCTCTACCTTTTTCTTGGTTTTGCTGGTATTTTAAGGTTTGGATTGGAGGAGAGGCTCAGTGGATGCCGGCTCATTGGGATCAGTTCATAATGAAGATAGGATAGGGAATGCTGGATACAAGGAACAATTTCTCCAGGATCGTAGGATTTAAGACCGAGCAGTTCAAGTTTTACCAAAAGTTTTACACTTTTTTTTTATTTTTTTCATTTGGAACCTTACCCAACATTTTACCCTTGGTATTTTCACTCACTTTGGAGGAACAGATGCTGGAGCAATCATTTGGGATGGAATCAACAGAAGCAGTCTGGTAAATTGAGGGAAAATTTGGGATTAGGGGTGAAACTCAGGCAATTCTAGATTCTCACTGCCCCTTGGTGGGCAGTAATGGATGCTTTTACATCGCTAGCTTTTTATTTGGTTATTTTTTTAGTGAACAGTTGCCTCAATAAAAGATACATTGATATATAAAGAGTGTCCTTTTTATTTTTGGAGAATATTGTGTGTAGTTTATAATTTAAGCACCAAAGCTGTTACAGCAGCTGTACTTTTGCCACAGATCATAATCTGGTATAATATGCCAGCTTCAACTATCACACATTATAAAGCAAGGAGCCTGAATTAATTTAGTATGGCAGAGCCATCAAATTGATCAACTAGTGACTCATTAGCTGATCTCACCATCATGCTGGGTGGTCACTTCTTATGAATGTTAGTATTACAAGGGCTACCATAAATTCTCCAGAGAGCATGTTCAGATTCTCTATACTCTTAATAAAGGGAATGGTTCTATTTAGAGTTCTATATAGAACCGTTTCATGCTTAAATGATTCTGGTTCCTCAGATTGATGGAGAATGTGTTGTAAATGGTTCTATATGGTACCAAAAAGTTATGCTATTATGATGTCAAGCTTTTATCAACAGAAGAACCCTTTTTGGTGCTATGTAGAACCATTTTCAAAAAGGTTTTATAAAAAAACACATTCTCTGAAGAAACATTTAAGCACGAAACGGATCTATGTAGAATTCATGGTTCTATATAGAACCATTACCTTTATTAAAGAACCATTGAAGAACAATCTTTTAAAAGAGTGTCTAGTTCAGGCAAATCTTTTATCTTGGAGGGCCAGAAAGACCAAACATTGCAGAAATAAAGAAGGAAGGTATGTGTACAACCGAGGTACTCAGGTAATTTTCATAATATACTGAATTCAGTTTTAATAGAAAAGAAATATGAGCTGTAGTTGTATAGATAAGATAGTGACAATGTAGTGTCATTAGGTGAGGGCATGAGATTAGGGTGGGTTTCTGGGGGGGGGGTCAGAATAAACGTCCTCACTCTGGGCAGAACTGCTCGAGCTGTGTCCACTATCGAACCTTATGTTTACCTTTATTTCCCAAATGTATCTTCAGGTTCAGTTCTCCTCCAGTAAGGCTGCTTCTGAGCGGCTCGGCGCTCCTTTTCGAGCTCGAATGAAAACCTACCTGGTATCGCGTTTCGCTCGCTCTCCGGTCAAAGATGCATTGTGGGTTGAAATAAGATGCTGGTAGAGCGGCGCAAGAGGAAAATGCCTACAACGAAGGCAGAGCTGCTCTCCAGCCAATGGAAAGCGGTGTGGCGGACAGCGCTGTAAAGGGCGAGGGATCCAGCGGGCAGCAGAGTGAGCGCTCGAGTTGGTCTTTATTGAGCCTCATCTCAGCAGGAGAAGGATTTTCCCACCTCGAAGCTCGAGCTGGTGTCCGTTCGCTGACAGCCCGCTGTGTTATCGACTGAAGGTGAGTGCTGAGCTAGTTTAGCCCATCCAGGTTAATCTGAATGATAATGCACGCTGAGTGTCACACAAAGTACTTCAGTCCGGTAATGAAAGACTGCAGTTTAAGTCGATTCGACGCAAAATTGCTAGTTAGTAATGTCTGCCCGTTTGAGGAGGCCTCTGAGAGACCGACTGAGATTATGTGCACGTGAATAATCAGGATAATGGTGTTGGAAGCTGCGGACGAGGCTTTCAAATCACTGCTGCTGGGCTCCTCAGCACCTTCAAGCAGTTTTATTTAAAGGGGAACTCCACCGACTTTTCAAAATGTCTGTATGTTTCAGCGATTGGGATGTAAACGAAGTCATTCAGAGTGGTTTGATGTGAAATGCTTCATTGTAGAGAAACTTATTGACTCAGATTTCTTCACAGTGGTGGTGATAGGAACCAGGGGTCACGATGTCTACAGCACAAACAGAGCCATTTTATTTCCTATCCACAACCACCAGTGAACCTACACGTGTCATGTGAACGTTGATGATGGTTAAAATAATGGCCAGTCTGATGAAACAAAATTTCTTTGGGAACTATTTTGCATTGGAACACCCCTCCACCATGAATGGATTAAAATAAATTGATTGAAATACATTTTAGACCCCACCTATTGTAAAACAATGTCTCAGACATCAGACAGTGTTCATAAGCATTTCATGTAACAGCTTTCTGTAAGGAGCTTTAAAAGGTGGACGTCTGGTTCCTATCACCAACACTGTGAACAACTCTTAAGTTTCTCTAGAACTGAGAATTTCACACCAAACCTCGCTGAATGACTTTGTTGACTTGTTCACCATCTAATTATGCACAAATTCTGAAAAGTTGGAGTTCCCCTTTAAGTTGGTTGGGCTCAGGTTTCTTCAGGCTTCATCAAAACATCCGGCCAGAATAAGAAAGTCAATAGGCAGCTATGGGCAGCGCAAAGCTCTGACGTTACCTACGGGCTCTCCCCGACTGGATGTCCATCACTGCGAGCTGATAAAGATCAGTTAATGAATGAGAAGTTAAATGAGCTGCTTTCTCGTCGTTTAGAGGCTGAAGTGTGGCACGGCATGTTTTTGGTTATTTATTTCTTTTTTTTATCAGCATGATGCTGAAGTTGGCCTCTCGTTCGCCAGCTCGTTGTTCGAATTGTCCGTTCCACCTTAAATGGTGCAGCAGTTCCATTTTTCACGGGCGCCAGAATGGAGCTGCTGCACCATTTAAGGTGGAACTGATAATTCGAATAAGAAGGCAGCCTGAGCTTCGTGCACGGATTGGCAGTGTTTCTTTCTGGCACCTCATGGTCGTCACTCCGTGAGATGATGAGGTCATTTGAGCGGCTGAAATGTAAACTAACAGGCCTTTCACGGCCGCTGAAGGGCCTTTTTTGGTTTCTACAAGCTGCAGAGTCTATGAGGCCATTTTGACTGTATACTGGCCGAGCGCTGAGAATACTGCAGGACGTGAATGGTTTTGGTGTTGTGTATGTGTGAGGGAGGCAGAGCTGGTGCCCGGTAAAGGGCTGAACTGAAGGACCCATTAAGGACTTACTTGATTCTTACTGTGGCGTATCTGGTGTCACCGAATTACCCTAACAAACCAGAGGCTTTAGTGAGTTGCAGTCTGCTGGGAGTTCGCCTGGCACTGTGAGAAGAACCTAAAACCTGCTCCTGAAAGGGCTCTCTGTTCAGCACTTGGGCTGGCGGTATTTGTTAGAGTAGCAGTGGAGGCTGAAGTATTTGCTGGTGATTTACATAATCGAATTGTATAGTCTTAAAGGGGAATACCACCAATTTTTCAAAGTTTCTGAATAATTCAGTCCTTGAGATGTAAAAGGTCGTTCAGAGTGGATTGACTTGAAGCGGTTAATTGTAGAGAAACTTAGACTCTGATTTCTTTTCTTTTTTCAGTGGTGGTGATAGGAACCAGAGGACACAATGTTTACAACGCAAATATAGCCATTTTATTTACTATCCAAAACCACCAGTGAACCTGCATGTGTCTGCTGAGCTTTTACATGTAATGATTTTAAAATAGTCAGGAAAAAAAAAATAAAAAAAAAAGTTTTCTTTGGGGACTGTTTTGCCTTAAAACACCCTCCATGTACCCTTCCACCAAGAATGGATTAATATACATCTTAAGCCAAAACATTATCATAAAACAATGTGGCAGCATATTTATAACCATTTAGTGTAAACCTTGTCTGAGGGAGCTTTCAGAGGCATTAAACGCTTTGGATGTCTGGTTCCTATCACCACCACTGTGAACGGTTCTGACTCAGCAAGTTTCTCTAGAACTCAACCATTTAATTGTGCAGAATTTTTGAAAAATTGATGGAGTCCCCCTTTAATCTTTGTCTTCCATTTTTCAAGCATAATGACTGACAGGAAAGCTGTGATCAAGAATGCTGACATGTCCGAGGACATGCAGCAGGATGCAGTGGACTGTGCGACACAGGCCATGGAGAAGTACAACATAGAGAAGGACATTGCAGCGTACATCAAGAAGGTGGGCTTAAAAAAGCAGCAGTTCAGCCTGGTTGAAATCATGACTAATGCAGTTAAGATGGCCGTTGAAAGGTTGGTCACCGAAGTTATTTCTGTTTCTCTACATTGCAGGAGTTTGATAAGAAGTACAACCCAACATGGCACTGCATTGTGGGAAGGAACTTCGGCAGCTACGTCACCCATGAGACAAAGCACTTCATCTACTTCTACTTGGGGCAGGTGGCCATACTCTTGTTCAAATCTGGCTGAAGCTCCACAAGAGTAGATTTTTCTTTTTTTTTTCTGTTTATTTCTCTCCCAACATGGACCGAGATGCACTAGTGGCTGATGTCGTATCTACCTACACGCTACCAATGTTAAATCAGACCATACCATGCCTATGCTGACTGTGCATAACTGCATGGACCGTATACCATACTAATTGTGTATATCTTGCAGTTCAGTTGCTTTTTCATTATTTGCTCCATGTTTATTAGGAGAGGTTTTTGTTTATGGTCCTGGCAGGTTCGTTCAAGCACAGGAGCTGTAAAGGCAGGTGTGATCTTTTGATGGAATAAAGCAGAGCTAAAAATAGGATATATGAAAAATGCGTTAGCACTTCTATTTTTCTTCCGAGAGATGTATTTTCTTTAAGTAACCATTCTGTATAGCCTGTATGGTTCTAATGAACATCATGAGTCATATCTGTACCATGGTGGAGGTGGAGAACAATGGAAACGAGTCTTGTATATGCTAGAGTAGAAGGCGCTAGGTCTTTATCTAACCTCAGAAGAATGTCCTGATCTTTGTTCCATGTCATCTGTTAGGAGAGGGAAGTTGTCTGGGAAATGGGTGACTTATGCACAAATGAAGGTTTATTCTGTGAAGCTTTTCCAGTTTGAAACGTCTTACCGAATGTCTACTGTGACAAGAGCTGAGGAATGTGTATTATTAGAATAATGTAAGATATCTAAATGATTAAACTAACTGTTGTTGTTAAGTATATTTTCAATGCAGTTTTTTTTGTCTTATTAGTAATGTGTACGTTACCTGAATGTAAAGGGACTTAAAGATGAATGCGCAACTTATTTTCCCACTCCTGAGTGTCTTCCTGGATTTTTGGCAAGGCATATCCATTAAGAAATGATCAGATTCATTATCTGCATGTTTTTCTTTCCCTATTTGTGCTCATTACCCGTCTGTAACTGGCTAGTCGGCCCTGTGGCGCTTCCTTTGTTCACAGGCTTGTGAGACAACACTTACGCTCCATTTCACTGTACCCTCTCAGGTACTGCCCATGACAAAAAGGCCATGTTTCTCAGCCATTAAAATGTGTATTTAATGCAAAACTTTGCCCTTTGTTTTGTTTTCTGTTTGCTAAGGTTTGTTGTATGATATAATTTCTGTACAGATTAGTTACACGAGTGACAGTGGTACTGTAAATACTTCTTTGTTTACTAAGATTTTTCTGAACACCTTTATATTCCCTTAGGATACTGACGTATCAGTCCATCAGAACATCTGTGAAACCATTACAGTACCTTTTACACTGTAATATCAACCCATCAGGAAACCCCAAAATATCATTACTGAGTATTGGACACCTGCAGAAACTTTTTATGGTTTCTATAATTTCTGTCAGCAGGGTTTTAGACTCCTGAGCTCAGTAGTGGCCTATCACAACTGAACTGTGAGAATTTGAAATATTTAAAAAAGAACGAGTGTCCAAAATAAGCTTTAAGCCATGACCTTGGTCTTCATGAAAATCGTTACCTCATTTGATCCACTGTCAAGACCTGCGGCAGCCTGCTATGATCATTCTAAATCACAAGAGGGAGCCCTCACCATGCACAGGCTTCATGGTCAGCATGCCAACTCCAGTCATGTAAGCCAGTGTTCCTCAAGTGCAGGACAGTGGGCCTCCAAGACCAAGGGTTGAGCAACACTGCTATAAGCCAGTGTTTTCACAGTTCACTGTTTTCCCTGCATCTGAGTGACATTGTTTGCTAGTCAAAACAGTTAAAACGAAGAGTTTCCTACTCGATTTTCGGTTCCACATTAAATGGGTCAGCAGTTACATACTGCTGCACAAAATTCAAATAAGAAACTAGCGAATGGGAAGTGAACTTTGTCAGCCTCGTGAGGGATGAGTTACCATTTCCCTGCTGAACAAAGAACACAGAAGTGGTTTATATTAGTCTGGTGCTAGTTTAGCATCTGGTTGACCAGCATACCAGCATCCAAAACAATATATGCTGATTTTGCTGGTGATCATACATGCTGTGCTATGCTGGTTTTTCTAGCAGGGTTCTGTCTACATTGGGCCAGGGGTGTAGCTAGATCTTTTAGAATGGGGTGGCCAGGTAAGACCCCGAGATTTTATTGGGGTGGCACACTGCTAGGACAAAAAATAAATAAATAAAATAAAAGAGTGTTAATGTATTAAAATTATATAAAAAGTGGTGTGTTGTTTTTTCTCTGTACATAACTAAATCTGACCATCATTTCCACATGAATAAAACATTACATGAATACAACTATTGCTGAAAGTAAAGTCTTGATGGAACATATTTTAGTCATTCATGAATAAATGATGTATTTAAATGAAGTATATTAAATGCACCATTTTTCAGTGCACAGTGTTAATATTAAGAAAAACATTCCCATAGAAGTTATTCATTTAGGCCGCCCTCACTACAGGTTATACGTGAGTCTAATGATTAGAAAGTATGACAGACAGCACTGTATAAGGGAACCTACAACACATGCATGTATTTAACTGTAAAAGTCATTAGTAAGCATGATAAACTATTAGAGCTGACTAATTTTTGATAGTTAACTCATCTTACCGTCGCATAGCCTACTTCATCATACAGCTCACAGAGCAGCACTGCTGAAGGGACCCAGCACACATTCGCTCACCTGTTTGCTGAGTAAATTAGTCTATCACAGCAAGATACACTAATTATTAAATGCAGCTTCATCATACTCTTAAAACTGATTGGTGACTACCATGATGGCAGATTTTTACCATAACCGATGCTTCATGAATGATGGCTGACTGATGATGGCTGACTGTCTCACTTTCCTTAATCGGGGTGGCCGTGCTTCATGATAGGAAGCCACTCATTGGCTACGCCTCTGCTCATGGCACAACTTACCTTCAGAACTGAACCGTGTCAATTCATGTAGCGAGGATAATATGTGCTGGAGCATGACATTTGCTTTCCCCTCTCATGCTGTTCTTGTGGCTTTTTATGGTGGTTTTGGAACCACCATTTAATTTCTTAAGAAGAAGCTGTGTTATTTTTCTGTCATTTTCCAAGTCTGCTGTTGAGTCAATGATCCAATCTAGCCATCTTCCCTGGAGGTAAACTATACTGAAACTAAATCTAGATTGTTTTCTCCACAAGGAACATAAATCAGACTGTGTAAATGGACAAGATTTTCAGACATGAGTTGTTCTTCCATTGGTAGGCATACTGACACTCTAACATTAGCAAATGGAAGACAAAGCAGTGGCAAACACATCTTTGATGCAGCCAACAACACACTGGTTGTCTAGCTGTTATTATTCATTATTTGCAGCCCATCAGAATTTCCCCCCAGCCTGAGAAAGAGTTAAAGAGCGTCCCAGTTCTTCTTATTTATAGGGGCTGAGAAAGTGAGACGGAAAGAGCATCGAGCATCAATGTAAGTTAAGGAAAACTCAAGACATACATAAATCTGATATATGGCAATCTATGGATTTCAAATATATGACATATATTTGCATATATGGATTTCCCTTTGATACGTCACATGTGGACATAAATGTGACATGTATGCCAACTTATTCAAAACTGGTCATTTTCAAATATGAGATATATATTTCAGTCATACATCAACATGTAACAAGATATGATGGAAATGTTATTCATATATGGATGGTGTGTGTTACTCATATATATTTCATGTTACATTATTTGAGGTGTTTATGCATCTTCTTTTCCCCACATACTTCCTAATGAAGTGAAAATGACTATAATAGCTACATAACCTATATAACAAACATGCACACTATAAGCCATGCAATAAAATTATAGTAACGATTGTAACTGTACTGGGATGTGTTCCCCATCTATCAGACACACAGGTATGATCCATATATTTTGCAGATATTTCCACAATTTGCTACTTATGTTTATTTACACAGTGTGCATGTGCACATATGGCCATATATCAGATTTCTGTTTGGCTAAAGCTAATCTACATAGGGTTGCCATTGTGAGCTCAGCTTCCTGCCACTGATCGAGTGTTCAGGAATTTTACAGGGTTGAGGCGGCAACCCTGAATCCACTAGGTATGATAAAGAGGCTGGGTACTTTCCTCTTTCATTCCAATGGTCTTCCTCATACTTCTTCTGTATTTCAATACAAACATGATCTCACTGAATAGGTTGTTGGGGCATTTGCTGAATTTCAACTTCTTTGTTCCTTGTTCTCTAAAGTTTGTCCTTGTACAGGGTCTTCTAGGTAATTAGCTTCTAAACGTCATGCCCAGTCTACCTTGCTGGCCCCAAGAGCAGTTTGTTCTAATGGCTTTGTGCTGAAATGGGTGGGCAGCCATGGGGCCTAGCTAGGCTGCGCAGGAAATGGCTGAGGCAGTCACGCTGAACAGTTTCACGCCAGATCTCAGTGTCACTGACCTGATAAACCTCGGAAACAAAACTTTGTGTAAGCTTTTAATTAAAAACAATCCATATAGTGTAATAAGAAATAAGCTCAGGCATATAAAAACCAAGAAGTACTTCGATTCAAGCTGTGGGCACTAAATCATGTATTGGAGGATATTAATGTTGCTTGCGAGTGTTCCATGATCTTATGGAAAGCAGGTTAAAGGTACTCACACTAGCCTTTCACGCAACTGCTGCAGTCTTTACATCTCTAGCTGTACTCCTTCAACCTTTACTCCTTAGACTATAAACAGAGAAGGAACATTCACTTCCTGGATGTTTCAGACTGGGCTAAAAGCCTTCAGTTATATAGAAATTAACAGTGATTATCATATCATCTCACTCAAATTATGAAGGCCCCAAGAATTATGCTACATGTTCCAGAGTTTGTTACCAGTTTCTCTTCTTCGTTCTCTCTTTCTCCATCTTGCTCTCCATCCCCCCTCTCTCTCCCACACCCAGCAACCTTAGCCAAACTCTTTATGGTCTTACGTCTTGTAATCCTGCCCATTTATTGCTCGCTCTGTGAGCTGCTGTCAAGGATAAGGCAATTAGCTTATCACGAAGACGTGATTTATAGAATCCACAAGTGACAAAAGCCTCGCGGTGCCACAGAGTTCTCTTTTGATTCGGATGGAAAGAAAAAAAAAATCTTGTTCTCAAGTGCTCTCTGCTCCCAAACTTCTCAAGCTGGTGCTGGGTCATTGGTTACGGGAGAGGGAGCTTGTTTTAGCAGGTGGCTGGGCAAATAAAACGCATAACTACAGTGCACCAGTGCTTGGCTTTTGATGCCATTTTAGAAAGCCTTGGGGGGTCTGAGAACACCCTCCTAAAATGGCAGTGTAGACTTTGTATTTCCCTCTGAGTGTGCTTTGTGTTTGTGTGTGTGTGTGTGTGTGTGTGTGTGTGTGTATGTGTGTGTGTGTGTGTGTGTGTGTGTGTGTGTGAGCGGTCCAGGGAGAGGTCAGCTTGGTGCCGGCCTGCTTTCTTGCCTTATCTCAGGTAATATCCCGGCTCTGGAGGCATGTGATGTTGAGCAACTGGGCCATAAAGCGGCGAAACACTTTATGAGCACTGCTGTGGCTCCGCTGTGTGCCCACCACTTCCTGGCCTGCTGCAGGGCTTTATATATATATATATATATATATATATATATATACATACATATATATA